ATTTGTGTCGCATACGGGAACCGAATTTGCTGGCCTGAAGTATGCCTGAAAATTCAAAAAAAAGTTGCAGAATCTCAAACATTATTGAAGGTGTGTATGTGTGCTATAGATGCTGGGCGCACCCATTGCCCTAGAAATTCTGCTTCCGAAACCTCAATGAAGTTCTCACGCAGGTGTTTTTTGAGATTGACATTCGTTTATGCAGGTTACCGCGAGGAATGTGGGCAGGGGAGGTAAGGGGGGTAGATGGGGCGGGGGGTCGTACGGATGGGTACCTTCAGGAGGGGGGGGGGGTCGTAAGTGAGGGTCCCGGATCGCATCAACACGCTTGACCCTGGTTGGGACCAGGCTATGACGGACTTGGTGGCAGTCCCCTCACCCAATGCCGCGCAAAATCTGTGGTATGCTCACTTGTTTTACTGCGGCGGTGCTGCTCAAAGTTCAAAATTACTTAGAGTGATGAGTTTTGATTTTATGCGCTTATAAAAATAACGCCATGTGATAGTGCCCTTCTATAGACCTCAGTTAGACGGTTTTGTTATGTACTAACTTAGCTAAAACTTGGACTTCCAATTAGGTTTTCTGTTTAGAAAAAACTGCATTTATTCTCTAAGCGCCCCCATTTACTTGTGGATTACCCTAGTAACTTCCGGAAACATTAATACAGTCCTATTAGGTGCTCAGATGCCTTCGGCACAACCGAGGCAATAACGCATTCCGCCTGTTTTTCTTGTCATTCCTTCTATCTTCCAAATTTTGGAAATCATCAGCCAAGGCTTGAAAGATGAAAACAATAAGAGAAGGTTCCAATAATCGCTCAATCGCGCAATTTCCTTCTTATGACTTGCTTACGACCAGACTCTAGGTAAAGAATCTCTCCGATTTTTCTGATACTTGCTGATCACTGGTGAAGGTACACTCCCCAAAAGCATGTTTCACTTTATTACGTTACTAGCTGGCATCCCTGTTCTCCCCGAGGAAGGATAGTGGACTGCCAAGCGGTAGCATCATAAATTTGTACGAACCAAGTGCAGAAACACTGAACTCTTATCGTGCAAAAATGAGAGAGAGAGAGAGAGAGAGAGAGAGAGAGAATAGGTTAACAGCTATGCCGGTTTCATCAATCACAACCTTACCTCCCGGCTGAAAATGTTCTTGGATTTTGATGAGTTTCGGCCAACGTCCTTCAGGATCCTTCCCCCCCCCCCGTCAGTTTTATATTATACTAGCTGGCTTACCCGGCTCCGCCGTATGTTCCGAATAGAAAATTCCATTTCTTAACCGATCCGGACCAAACTTGGCACACATACACTTCGGGCCCCGGCGGGTGTCACAGTCCACTTTTTGTTATCGATCGATGTAAGTGTATGTGTGCAAAGTTTGGTCCGGATCGGTTAAGAAATGGAATTTTCTATTCGGAACATACGTACATACATACAGACATACAGACATACATACAAACAGACATTCAGCTTTATATATAAGACTAGCGACCCTACGGGTCGCTAGCAAGTGGGTCGAGGCAGATACAATACAAGGGCTTCGTTGTGGCTATAAATATTTGTAAATAAGTTTCCTATTCCTTTCCTGTGAACATTTTTGCGAAGAGCATTTACAAAAGGAGAACTGCTCGAAGAAGCGATAATCTTCACAAATCATTTCATTACTCGACACTCGTTTACCACGCTCTTTCTGCAAATTTCCCCTCCTCTCAAAGACATACAGATTAACCCTCCCCCCCCACTTTTCTACCCTCTCAAAGAGAATTTGCTCTTCCAGTTCTTCTCAACAAAATTCACAAAAGATCGTTTAGTAAGTAGCAGAACACCTATCGTTTTGGAAGTAGAAATGTACCCCTAAAACTATGTGTATTACAAAATACACTTTTCTCTCAGAATCAATTCCGACAGCAACGAAATCAATTAAGAACTTTGTCAGAAAAACCTTCAACTTTTTCGCTTAAGGAACATGAAGCTTTACTACAAAAGGAGAACCCCCTACTGAGCCATTTAAAGACCGTCAATCATAAGAACTGCACAAACGTGAACAAAAAATTTGTTTCCCCGTCCCATCAAATTGCCCTACGTGCCGCTTACAAACCAATACTATCTATCTGAAAGACAATTTATGCCCTACGTGCCGCTTGAAGACTTTTTAAAAATTATGAGAACTGCCCCAAACAAACAAAAATCTGTTTCCCTGCCCGATCGAGTTGCCCTACTTGCCACTTACAAGCCAATATTATCTATCTGAAAGACAGTTCATGCCCAAGCCGCTCGAAGACCATTTAAAAATCAAAAGAACTGCCCCAAACCCACAAAAATCTGTTTCCTGCCCGATCGAGTTGCCCTACGTGCCGCTTACAAACCAATATCATCTATTTGAAAGATAGTTCATGCCCCAAGCCGCTCGAAGACAGTTTAAAAATCAAAAGAACTGCCCCAAACCCCCAAAAATCTGTTTCCCTGCCCGATCGAGTTGCCCTACGTGCCGCTTGAAGACTTTTTAAGAATTAGAACTGCCCCATACCCACAAAAATCTGTTTCCCTGCCCGATCGAGTTGCCCTACGTGCCCTTACAAACCAGTATCATCTATTTGAAAGATATCATGCCCCAAGCGCTCGAAGACCGTTTAAAAATCAAAAGAATTGCCCCAAACCCACAAAAATCTGTTTCCCTGCCCGATCGAGTTGCCCTACTTGCCACTTACAAGCCAATATTATCTATCTGAAAGACAGTTCATGCCCAAGCCGCTCGAAGACCATTTAAAAATCAAAAGAACTGCCCCAAACCCACAAAAATCTGTTTCCTGCCCGATCGAGTTGCCCTACGTGCCGCTTACAAACCAATATCGTCTATTTGAAAGATAGTTCATGCCCCAAGCCGCTCGAAGACAGTTTAAAAATCAAAAGAACTGCCCCAAACCCCCAAAAATCTGTTTCCCTGCCCGATCGAGTTGCCCTACGTGCCGCTTGAAGACTTTTTAAGAATTAGAACTGCCCCAAACCCACAAAAATCTGTTTCCCTGCCCGATCGAGTTGCCCTACGTGCCGCTTACAAACCAGTATCATCTATTTGAAAGATAGTTCATGCTCAGGCTGCTCGAAGACCGTTTAAAATCAAAAGAACTGCCCCAAACCCCCAAAAATCTGTTTCCCTGCCCGATCGAGTTGCCCTACATGCCGCTTACAATCCAATATCATCTATTTGAAAGATAGTTCATGCCCCAAGCCGCTCGAAGATCGTTTAAAATCAAAAGAATTGCCCCAAACCCCCAAAAATCTGTTTCCCTGAGCGATCGAGTTGCCCTACGTGCCGTTTACAAACTAATACTATCTATCTGAAAGACAATCGAGTTGCCCTACGTGCCGCTTACAGAGTAACTATTCAAAAAGAAAAATTATGCCCTATGTGTCGCTTGAATACCGTATATGTGAGAAAAAACGACCTTACGACTCTACAGAAAGAAAACAACGAAATCAAGTAATCAGCGTAAATTGCCGTACATGCCACTTTCGGCTTTCTTTTTGAGAACTGCACCAAACGTAGAAATCTGTTTCCCTGCCCGATGGAATTGCCCCACGTCCCGCTTACACCCCGTTACCTAGTTGAAAGCACCAGCGGGACTCAGTTACACAAGCAAAAGCAAGGCTATTGTTAGATAAACGCTTCCAAAAGTACCAGCGACAAGTTACTCACGCACCCTCTTGTCTATACGCGGAAGCAAGATAGTCTTAAAGTGACTGTTCTTGGTTAGAGCATTCTTACTAAGAGTTGAGAACATAGCTGAATTCAGCTCAAGACATGCCATTTGGCATCATTTCAAAAGCAACTGATAGGAGTACAACATATCTGGAAGACACATTCTGGGATAACAAGCTCGAAAAAAAAGCAGGTATACAAATAATACACCCGGACACTGCCGACCCAGTCTCAAATTCATTGCGACACTCATGATTGCCTTTCGAAATACGCGCGACCCATTTACGAAAATATGCTTGGTCACTCGTTCTGAAATTTGGCAGCGTTCCAAAACGCATGCCACTTGGCAGCAATCCAATTCCAAAGATCAGTGTATTTCATCATAATTTTTACGTCCGCGGCCTCCTCGTTTGCCATGATCCAACTATCGGGCGGCTTAATGGGTAAACAACGAATTCGTTATATATTACGTAGTGATCAATTGAAGGGTGTCCGGACAAGTTTGACGATTTCAACAAAAACATAGACTGCTATAGCTCCCCGCTGGTGAAGCTCTTATCCAAGTGGCGTCGCTTCTTTGATTCTGGGGCGAGAAAACTGCTTCAGAAGCGACGACAGACGCCCCGGCGACTTGCCCGTCCCTTCAATCGATAGCCAGAGTGCGAATACTGCGCACGGTCAAGATGTAGGGTCCCACCACAACTCTGTGTCTTCCGCACCAGGCGCCCAAATTCAAATTCAGGGGCTTCTGGGATAGCCCGTTTCCGATATTTTCGTACTCTGCAGGCTGCATTTTTGGAATCAGCGGAAAAGAAGCCCAGGTGAGCAATAAAATTTGTTTCAACTTTCACCCGGCCGTTGCATAAAACATCCTTCAGCCTGGAGTGGTTGCGACCACAGTGATCCCTTCACTGTGGGAAGGTCCTTCTCACCCTATCGCGGGAATGATTTTGACGTTTTAAGCCTTGGCTAATGATTTTCAAAATCTGGAATGGCAGGATGACAGTGACAAGCAAGTTGGAATTGCCTCATTGCCACGAAACTTGTACTGTGCCAAAGACTACTGAGTACCCAATAAGAGTGATTTATGTTTGACCTAGAAGATTATAAGACAGTAGGTGGTCTCAAAGGGCCTCGTTTTTTGATCTTAAATATATATATAAACTGCATGGGTGAAGAGTACCGATAGTTCTTAAAATCAAAAAAAAAAAGAAGAAAGACGGAATAAGGTAGAATAGAACCAAAGGTGAACTGTGAAAGCTGTGAGATGGTTCCCATCTCAAAAAGATACAACGTACAGGATCAGCAACTGGACTTTCAGGTTTTTTCCGAGCTATGACGTGGTATGGATTGAGCACCTTCCACTCCATATCCAGACTCTTCATCGCACGAAAAACCTCGTACATAATATCTTCTGCAAAACAGCACGGCTTCAAGATACTAGAAAGTCTTAAAAAGCAAACAGACCTGGTCGACTCTGCGATCTGATTCCAAGATGCCACTTTGCTCGTTTAACCCCACACTTGTATCCAACAGATTGGACTGGTGCCATATTAGTGAATGAAGCGTCTCCTCCAGCAGTATTTTCGAGCGTGGGAGTGATTTTACTGCTCACGGCAGCTAAAACAGTCCCGAATGATGGTCACCATAAAGGAATAGTATGTGAAAGGTTGAGGAAAATCTCTTGCGCAAAACCAGTCCCTACACACAGCCCACCGCTGGTTCAAGATCATATTCTGCCTCAAAATAGTCCTTGCTGAATGCCTCAGAGATGTTGACAAGCAAAATGTGACCTATTACATACATTCTCCTCAGTGGGGTCGTAAGACGTGCCTCATTGTATTTGTGGATTATAGAATTGAAGTCGAGAAACAAAAAAAATTTCTGGGTTTCTATAAAGGTTTAGAATTCGTAAATGACTGCACCTGAATTTCCAGCATTTCGAGTAAAGTTTTACTCGTGTTTTTGGATAGAATAACGCTTCCCTAAAACTTGTAAGTGCTCGCGCTTGAGTAAGTTTGTGAAGCATATTGTATTAGTATAAAACAAGCAGAAGTTCTGAGTCTTCCAATCACAGTATATAACAGAGAAATTGGTCAACTTCACCCAGGTTCAAAGAATCATCTAGGAGTAAAGCGAATAAGAATATCTTGCAGATCTAGTGTGAATTTGGAGCTCTTAGCCAACTCTTCAATATGCATGCGACCGAAGGTTGGTGTCCTAGCTATCGATTGTAACAAATCTTACACTTAAAAATTCCTTTTGATAACTGGATCATTTTGATCATTAGAGTGGTTGGAATGAGAAGCTCATTCAAATACATGATGGCAGATGAAAGTAGGAAAGTATGTGTTCAAATATCCTAACTATTGGGGAAAGGGATAAGTTGGTTATTCGGGAACTTTAATATACTCCTTTCAAAATAGGTCCTTCTAGTGTTGAGAAGGTAGCCAGGTTCTCAACCACTCCTGGTCACTCACAAGGAGAGGATACTTAGTTGAAAGCACCAATCCAGATGAGACATATATAGTCTTAAAACGCTTGAAACGCTGATTCCAAATTAATAGTTTCTAGCTGCGGAACGGTTTTGTAGAAGAATTTATGAGGGGTTTCTCTCTGGGGTTGAGGCGCCCTCCAGTAGGTCTCCCCTTATCTATGAGCACTGTAGAAGAGTACAACTGGTGGCAACTGGCCTAGTGGTAAGTGACTTGCTTGTTGAGAAGAGCGCCAAGGTTTTAGTCCCTTCGCATGCAATTTCATCGCAATTTTTGCAATTTTGAGCTTCTAAAATGGCTTTGGAGCCCTAAAGTCTAGAATTTCTGATGATACTGATGCTAATCGAAGTTAAAAGTGTTGAAAAAAACCAAAGCGACATGTGTACTACGATTCTTATTGTGATCTTCATTCAAATTACTTACCGCTAGACCAGTTGCCACCAGCTGATACTCCTCTACAGTACTCATGGATAAAGGGAGACCTGCTGGAGGGCGCCTCAATCCCAGAGAGAAACAACCCTCATAAATTCTTCTACAAGACCGTTCCGCAGCTAAAAACCATAGATTTGGGATCAGCGTTTCAAGCGCTTTGAGATGATATATGTCTCATCTGGACTGGCGCTTTCGACGAAGTATCCTCTCCCTGTCAGTATTCAAAACTCCTGGTGCTGGATAACTTCAATCAGATGATCAGTAAAGTTATTCAAAATCTTGATGCTAAATCACTTCAATCAGAAAACCAATAATTTACGAATGATTGAATTAGATCCTGTATTTCGAATGACCGGGTTCACTGTTTAGAAAATTCTGGGTAATTCTGGGTATCTCTTTTGAGAATAATGTTCAAATGCTCATTTTGAAAGGAGTACGTCGTAGAAGTTCCCAAGCCGCCTCATTTGAAAAAATAACAATGTTCTTCGCTTTTTTCTCCATTGCTTCTCTCTTACTACCCTTAATACCTGGATCTAGTTCTATATGCTTGCACACCTCACAATGAGACCACCCAATGGATAGAGCAATGGGTGGGGCCTGATCTCTGAGGCGCGGAGGTGCTAGAACCCTCCTGAGTGCGAATGGGTGCAAACTTGGTTCGAGGAAAGGTGCTAGGAACTCTTGCACGCCCTCTGCTTACTCGAAATGAGGCTGTAAAGCAAGCAGTTTGCATGCACATACCTAAATGTAGAGTGACTGTAGATTGACCCTTAGCGGCGAATATCTAAGTGCAATTGGAGCATGAGTCTTGTTTGAAACGCGTTTTATGTTTCCTTACCTCAAAGGCACTTGCGAATAGACACTGCTTTGGGTTTTTAAGTATTCTAGTGTATCACTTACGAAATGGAAGACTTAATGCATTGCAGTTTGCCTTGAAAAATACGAGATAACGAGATAACAACTAAAAGTTTTCGTTGTCGACATAGATAAGATCGAAGTACTAGTCGTTACTACCGCAGGCAGCCGTGCTTTAACTGCGTAAACTTTTACCAGTTTCATGAATGCAGTGAGAAAACTTCGTTTACTTTTGTAACTACTATGAAGGATTGCATTTGATTCGCTGAACGGCGCTATTCGGTCCGGAACAAAATTGAAAGATGTTAATCTTGCTCAAACTTTGCCCGCAAGGGTTACTTGATACGCTGATCGCAAATATATACTATAATCGCACAAACGCAATTTTGTATGATGTTGGCAGCGGGGTCCCAGGATGGCCACGGCCTCTAACCATACCCAATGGCGTCTGGGGGGGGGGAATTTTTTTGAGCATAGGTGCGTGGCTGACGCCACTCGAAAATATTTATGTGATGCCGGGGTTGAGGGCACCGTTCATCCAGATTCTCGGCTTCCATGTTTTTGTTTCTGGGCCTTCTCATTCCCTGACGAATATGAAGTCGGGAGTCCGAACTCCGACAATCCGTTTCGGAGAACCCGCGGGGCGATTCAAACGGTTATTGGTGGGCCAAGCGCGGATGGACGGGCATTACCGGAGACATGCAATGCCGCCTAAGGGTCTCGTGCCTCTTCATTATTCCTGAGCGTTCGCTTCCGAACCGGTATTTTGAGCCGCAACTTAGACATTGGTTTGTTAGAGGGTCTTATTATCGTATGCTGCCAAAGTTTCACATCCCTAATTTAGGGTGGACGGTGCAGAGCTGGTGTCATTTGGGCTCATTTGCACGCCGATCACGGTTATTACTTCCCCACAATGAGCCTTTCAGGGACACGCGGGACACATATAGCTCAAAATTCAAAATTAGCCCAGAGTTTTAGAAAGGATGTCCTTATAGACTGACTAACTAATGACTTTAATGTAGATGCACGAAAGCGGCTTTCCGAATCTACAACGGCCAAACGTATCATCTTGGGATCGGGCAACAAAGGACTTCGGCATGCAATAGATCATATTTGAGACGAAAGACTCATGGCAAGCGCAAAAACTCTTTCCAAGCACAATCTCTTGACCAGCGATATCATAGTCTGAACGATACACTAATAAGTCCCTGTGCAAAGTTTGATCAAATCCATATTCCAAATAAATGTGATATCCATGACCAGCGCGAGAAATGACCTCAACAGACTAAATTCTAGCCAAACTAGCCATGAGATTGTATGCCGTACGATCCTAACTAGTATTATCCGAGTAATGCTGGCACTTGAATCACTCAAAAAAGTAAGGAGTACAGCACTCACCCTCAAAAATATGCTCATTTGCCAAAACGTCCTCGGTGATAGGGGGAAAGCGCTAGTGGGATTCTTGTAATCTCAAACAGGATCTATTTGCCAATCCATATTGAATCAAGGGAAGGTTAGATAGTGCTCTAAATAAAATTCCTGCTCCAATCGCAAGTAATCGCTCCTAAAGGTTAATCTACGGTCACACCTAAACGTCATCTGTATGTCTGTCTGTATGTGTGGTATGTGTGTCGCCTGTACTATCGACTAATTTGCACATTCACACTTCGAGAGCGGGTATAGTAGGCTAATTCTCAGTATCAGTTATCGGTTCTACTGATTGTTTTTTTTTCAAAATTTGAGCAACGGGGCTGGAAGCTGGCCCAAGGGGTCACGCGAACGTGCTGATATCGATTACCTTGTCGACTTCATCGATTTTGCTTGGTGCGAGACTGGGAGCTGGCACAGGGGATTAAGCAAACGCATGAATACGTATACGAAAACCTTTCGCACAGATACCTGATACTTTATCGCATTTATCAACTTTTTGCAAACTTTGGGCTATGAGGCTGCGACATGGCACAGGGGGCTATGTGAGCATGCTGATTACGAATGTATATGGGGACGTAATTATTTGGAAGAGGAACAAGGACAGAGAAATGTTGGAAAAAGTAAGGAATGACCAAATCCTGTGTTGACAGCTCCAGGCGATGTCGAGTATGCTAGCTAGCTCTTCATAAAACAATGCTCGCTTTGCTCTTAAAATGGATAGTGAGATGCAGTCATACGACTGTTCTTACCCTCTCGGCAATAATGAACCTTGAACACAATGCTCGGCAAAATGCATTCCTGTCGGATTTTGGTTGGTCAAGTAGTGACTTCCCCCCACCACTACATCTTAGTCCACTCACCATCCAATTAATGCGCTCAGTCCTAAAACCACGCCTTAAAATTCCATCAATGACCCCCAGGTGGAAGTGGGCGAGGCATGGGCTTTTATAGCGTCTTTTTTGGACTTAGCACATGAGTTTGTGTTGGTTCTACGAGTACAGGTGGGGAGGGAAAAAAGGAGTGGGGGGGGGGGGGTGGGGGGGGGGTTTAAGCCCAACTTTACCAAAATCTGACAAGGGTCCATCTCGCAGAGTCAACGAGCGTCGGGCAAGATGTCGACTAAAGAGTATTTTCGCTTACCTAATTACCTGATATACCCGCTGATTCCGAGAATGCAGCTTGGATAGCGCGAAAATGTTGAAAGTTGACTATTTCAGCAGCCCTCGATTTTGAATTTGAACGTATGCCGAAAAGGTTCTCAGACAATTATTGCGACCACCCAAGGAGGGGCGCCGGCCGACGTTTCATCCATGCCGCGGTGGTAGAATAAACGCACGCCAAGCCCCCGAAATCTACCCGCAGATGCCCCGATAAGTGCCCAAACGAAACCCGCGGATTCCCGGCAAC